ATTTGGAAGAAAATTCTGGTTGTTGATTGTCCGAAAACATGCGGTTTATGTGCTGAGTCAATAGGTTGGTAGTTATGTTGCACCCTTATGACAGTTCGGTACCTCATTGAATGTGACCTCTTCTGATTTTCGGTGATTGTGCTGATACAACTCCTTACTGCAGCGAATATCCTAATATATGCAATGTCGAGTCATTGGCAGATTTCGTAAAAGTAGTTGTTTATTATCTTCATATTTTAAAATTATTCATAGCTCTTCCGTTCTTCTCATTGATTTTGTTAATGTGACATCTACACTGTTTTGTTGTAAAAATGCTCTATTATAGAATAATTTAAAAAAACGATAATTTATTAACTCATTCTGACCTCCGTTACCGAGTAATTTCTTTTAGGCTCACTGCATGAAAACTTGTAACTTATGCAAAGACAAGCCGAAAAATCCTTCAGGAGGTAAATTTATCGTTATCATTATCAAAACACACGACAATCCTTCATAAGATTTTCGAAAACGTTTCCCTCACCACAACAATAAAAACCATATAGTAAATACTAACAGAAAATATATCTAGCTATTAAATGATAACGTATCAAGGATGATTTTATTGAATACAATTAAATGCGAGTAAAGAGAAAAATACGGCAAGAAATATGGTAGATCACACTGTAGATGAACAACTTTTCCATAACTTCTAGAGAACTTAAGGGAAAACTAGTAAGGTATACAGAGTAAAGATTCTTCTGTCTTACAGGTTCAATCAAATGTGGATCGCATCCAAGGTGATCTCTTTAGTTCAATGATCTTATTTATTTTATTTACTTTTATTCTATCATTATTATATTTATTATTTAAAAAAATTGGTGTATAAGTACGGTTGATAATGAGTATATTCAGCTGTGATGATTGGAAGAAAAACGGTTTCTGCGATAATACATTCTACAGTGATATTCAGAGAATGGAGTATTGTGGCAAGACATGTAAATTATGTGAATGAAATTGTGATCATTATCTGTTTGTATTTTGAAAGCGATTGAAATAGCAAAAAATAAATCAATATTCACCTCAAAATAAAACACTCACACAAGTTTTCAAAACAACATCGCACCTCCTCTGTTACGACCAATAGTAAGACGGGTAAACATTTGCCTCTCTGGAGAAATTCATCAAACAATCGTTCATGATATCACGAAAGTGTTTGAATACTAATGATCTACACAACGACATGAGTTGAACAGTCTGTGATCATTATAGTGCTGTTTAATCCTGATTACTTTTGCGTCGGGGCGGAGTGGTTCAGTGGTGGGGGTGCCGCAGTGACACGCCGGCCCGAATCAGTTCTCGGCCGCCCCCCAGGCCTACCATGCCCGCCATCCCTCCGGGGTCGGTAAATTGGTACCAGAGGAGTCTGGGTAAGATAACTGCCACTGTTTTGGTGAAAAGTGGTCACCTCAAGTCATTGAATAGACCAGGCGCGAATTCAACCACCTCCACGATATCGCGTTGTACATGAATGCGGGGGCGCATCCCACTACAAGGGATTGATCGACGCCAACAATTATCTTATCTTATCTACTTTTGCGCCAATTCACCAGCCCATCCTTAATTCACTTATTGTTTAACGATAATGAGCCCATAGAACAGAGTAGTAGGGGCTCTTCTTAAAGGCTAAGCTTATTAATCGACTAATAAGGAGTTAAGCCTAGCAGAAATCCATGAGGCAACTACGCATAGAAAAATTATCATCATTATCTAATTAAGCTGAACTAACACAAAAAAATCGACATCGTTCATCCATCTTACCGTCATTGTGATCGTATTCGACTATTATCGATCGCCTAATTTCCTCGTAGATCATTAAACTTTTCAACTCAACTCGCTGTCACAAAATGCTATTACTATTAATTGAGGTAAATGTACATACTCAATCGAAATGCATTTATATATCCAACTACTGTTCTACCCATCACTAGCGCATAATTTACGAGATGCTTTGCATAATGAACAATCTCAACTGTCCACGTACCACTGCGGAACGTACTACACTGTGCTACGAGTCTATCAACTCTTTGTTGCGTAGAACATAACATTAGCGACTTCTATGTCGTAATACCGCTATTCGGTTTGAATTGTTAAAACATCTTTTCATCATTAGCCATAAGGAATTGTACAAATTCATAAGACATTTTCGTACGAAACCTCCTCACATACCTGTTCTTGTACCCCCACAGTAGAACACTGAACATGCAAAAACGAGAGTCCCTATGACCTTTTTCTAAAAGGTCAATCTTCATTACAGTACTTTTAACCATTGATTCAGCCATAGCACCACATCATTAAATTCATCCGAGAACGCTCTCTGCCCAGCTTGTTATAAACGATACAATGTCAGCTCCATTGCTGTATCCTCACCCTTACTAGAATAATTTAATGGCGTGTATTTTGAAATTTTATACGTATACCTCTCATATTCCTTGACTTATCGAACATCCAAGAGCAACACGAGACAACAGATAGTAACATTTTTATAGAAATAAAGCTCATGATTGAGTAAAATGACAGCAATGTTTCTTAAATGAATGGAGCTCACATCTCTGACCTACTCTCTGAAAGAATAAGAATTTCATTGAAACCAACAATATCTTCTAGCTCACGTATACGGCTCATCGTGATCGTGGTACTGCTCAGTCGTTTCGAAGAAATTCGATCTTTCAAGTAAGAGATATAATAGGAAGTTCATCAACCTCACTTTATGCTTCGCTCGAAGAGTGTCAACTGTTAATTTGACCATTTCTTAGCCATTTTATGTGTAAATGTGAATTTCCTTTATAAAATATTACCAACCCATAAACCTATTTGATTTTAACATTTTCTGCCTACCACATTATAAGCCCATAGCATTATTGAAGTTCCGAAAAAACGTTGGAATTTCACTAGCACCTTCAGAAAAGCGACCAGAAACGATACAAAAGCGTCATTCTATAAAAAACATAGGAAATGAAATGACATAAGGGTTATAAAGTGTTGTAGTGATTAGTTGAATACTCAGATGTAATTTATGTACTAAAACACCTGAAAAATTCGGGCTGAGCCGGGGATCGATCCTGGTACCTCTCGCACCCTAAGCGAGAATCATACCACTAGACCACTCAGCCGCATGTCAATGATGTTGAAAATGAAATATCATCATCACTTTATACCATATCGCTGAACATATGCGAACTAGGTGAATAGTGGTGACGTATTGCCACATAGAACTGGTTCACAGCTCGCATACGGCGTTAGCTAGCCTTTCATTAACGTTGGAGAAATTCATATCAGAGTCATCAAAAATACGTCCAATTCCAACATTACGCACTACGTCGAT